CACTCCCGGCCATACCAGGGCATTTGGGGGCCAAAGTGACAACCGCCTCCAGGTGGGCTCGAACCACCAGCGTTTCGGTTAACAGCCGAACGCGCTAACAGGTTGCGCCACGGAGGCAACTTGATTACGACTAATATGGCATACAACTTTGGCACTTAAACGTTTAGAACTTCCTAAGTCGCAAATCGAAAGGTCATACGAAAACAGTATGAACGCTTACTGCAGTAAATATCAATATGTACGGAAAAACGGGTGTTTATAGATTTTGATATAGGTGATAAACATCTTTATAATACATCGAATTCGCAAGCTTGAAATTCATACAGTGGTCCAATCATAGCATGCTATGAAGACATTTTAAAAATTTTATCGGTCTGTGACCAGATGAAATCTCTTGGGTTACTTTAGAGCCTCTTAAGGCTTCGTTGTACTCTCTGGGAGCCGTTCCTACAGTTAGTACAAATGATGTCCAGAGTACTTGTAGCAAATTTTTGTTATACCACGCCTACGTGAGTAGTTGACGAGCACAAAGATTTGGGTGATAGGACATATAGAGAGATTAGAACAATTTATCTGCCAAAGGTTAGGACAAATCACTTCGAAGAGGTTTGCTACATAGTACAAATAGTTCAACTGGACTTACAAGTTTTTTTATTGTTTAATATGTGGAAACAGCATATCCTATCAAGATAGAAATTGCATGGCTATTTGGTAGTCTTTGGATGAAGTGACAGTCTAAAATACTAGCCTCAATAATTATCGGACGCCTAACAAAGACTCGTGAACTGTGAACACGAGAAATTAAAGCCGATTTCAGACTTGGTTGTGGTTGCATCGATCACATATTCACTATTCGTCAGGTTCTACAACACAGGCATACTTATCAGCGTCCGACAATAGTGGTCTTTCTTGACTTGAAAGTAGCATTTGACTCTGTAGACCGAGAGGTTCTATGGCATTTAAAGGTGTACCTTGTCGTCAATCTCTAACCGAACACCGATAGTCGAGTTAGAGCTTATGGCTAACTGTCATCTGATTTTGTAACCTCAAGTGATGTTCGTCAAGGCTGTCAATTATCTCCATTTTTGTTCACTTTCACCATAGACGTACTGCTGGAAACAACGTTCTCGTCGTCTGTATGTTCGGGAATTGATCTCCCACTAGGAGGTCCACTTATCGAATTAGAATACGCAGATGACATAGTCCTGTTTGGTGAAGACGCTGAAAAAATGCAGAGTATTTTGGTAGCACTGAGTAACAATGCCAGGATGTTTGGGATACGTTTCCCCCCTCTAAATTCAAGTTGTTACTTCAGGACTGGTCTGCGTCAACATCTGAACTAAGGATAGGGAGTGAAGTAGTCAGACGCGTCGACAACTTCACTTATCTTGGAAGTCTGATTGTATTGTTTATATTGTATTGGTTATATAAGTACCTTCTACCCATTGTACTATCAATAACATTTTTTCGTTGCAGGGAGAAACTTGTGATTCATCTGTTATTGATGCAACATCACTTTTTCTTCTATTTCTTAGTAAACTTGTTCTTAACACGTTTTGTATACTTCAGAATATTATCAGCGTTTAAAATTTTTCGTTTTATGCTTGTATCCCAATTAAATTTTTTTACACAAGATGATTGATTGGTTAGCTCTAACATAACATGACACTTAAATGGAATTTCATCAAATCTTCCATGTAGCATTTAATTTTGCACTTAATGAGAATATCATCTTTGTTTGCTTTTTAAGAGTTAGTTTCAAAATGACGTATTTTTATTGTTGGAATTTTGAGAGTGACATTTTATTAAAAAAGAAGTGTTCATAATCAATTAGAAGAATTCATTGATCACTTTGATTAGTTGGGGAAATATTAGATCAATACTATTTCACTTTGTATTATCTTTGAATAACAGTAAGTAACCTGTCTTAATAAATTCAGAAATCCTATATTTTTTTTCCATAAAATTATTCAACATTTGTAAAATGGTGAACTTTCATATGATCTCACATGAATTGACTAATTATGTAAGAGTTTATCAAAACTGATTACAATCAGATAATTAAACGAAATTAATCGGTACATTAAAGTATTCATCGCTCAAAGTAACTTCACAATTAATAACAAATATACCAATATGAGAAAGAATCAATTTAACATATGTAGAATAAAATTAAACGTATGTTGTATGAACAAGTGAAGGTTGTATTGTTTGATTTTTGTTGTTGAATATTTAATGACTTACACATTGTGGATACTGTCATCTTTTTACAGTTAATTACTTAACTTCATGTACACGCTGTTTTTTTCAGTTTTCTAACTAAAGTAGTAATTGTTAAACTACAACTTTGTTATACCAGTAAATTTAATTAGTGAAACGGAACAAACCATTTGTAGTTTATTGTCAATAAATGGTTTTGTAATAGTTAATAAAGATGATGATAATAATAATTTATTTGAAGCTCTCAAGTCCAACTTTGGCATTTATACGTACTAAATAAAGATAATTTGAGAATGACTAACTACACATAATGTATTGTCAGTGAGTTTTTCTTTTTGCTTCTCTATTTGGTTTTGTTTGTTTGTTTTCAAGTATGTATCTTTTACCTTCATCTTACTACTCATTCTAAATAATATGTATTGCAACGTGTTAATAAATGTGTTTATGATAAATTTAGTTGCAAACTATAGACAGTAAACTGATCTCACCTCCTACTAATTTCATATATTACTAAACTCTTTTGATGTATATTATTTTTGGGTGTTTCTCTCTCTCTCTCTTGGTATAGATTTATAATTGAATTATCCAGGATAGCTTTAAGTTTTATTTAGTTAAACGTCAGTTGAGGGTTTACAGACATTAAAATTGTTTAATGACATTCTTAAATGAAACAGTTTATTCTGAGTAAGTAACACTTAAGTAATAAGCATTTTACCATACAAACTATAAAGTTAATAATACTTCAGTGTAATCTGACATCATCCGTAATCTCAGGATGTTGGAAAAACTTGCCAACGTTGATATTTTGAATATTAACCACAAGAAATTACCGAATTAACACATCCAACAGAGTAGGAAGACACCTGAAGGGGACTTCAAAAGAAAACAAACAAAACCTTCAGTGTTTAAAAGTATCAGCTATTTGGTGAAAACATCTTCATTTCTTCACACAGTCCATGTCAATAATTCAACTGACTGATATGATATACTTGCATGCAGTGCCTTTTCCTTCTTTCACACACATCAGTCAGCATCCATTGCACATGAACATTTGCGACTTTTGGGTGTGTGTAATACACCTTCAAATGTTGGTTTGGTTAGTAATATACTTCAAAAATAACAGATTCTTGCATCGTATTCGAGGCCGTGTGATCAAGCCGTTTGTTGTAAGAGCAGTTGTATTATCTAGTCTGGTTATTAGTTTATTTTTCCTATTTTACCTGTAGGACCAGTGACCTTTATTTCTAGTCTCTCAGTGGCTCTGAATAATCATAGAAGAATTTTAATGCTTGTTGGTACACGGGTTTCCAATCAGATGTGTATAACCGAACGCATTAATTCACTATTGTACTCTGTACATTCATAACTCAAAACTCATAAAATAATATATCTCAAGTAACCTGACCACACAACAACACAAATGAGAAATTACTATGTATGCACAATATTCAGTCATAATCGGTCCAAAGACGAAACAATACGTAAATAATTAATATTGAAAAAATTCTGAAACAGTAAGAGATATTACAACGGATTATTTGTCAAACAAACGCTAACAACTACGATAGTATTAGAATACAATGAAAATAACTAATACTTTTGGAAGCTCAGTCTTTCTCAAATTCTTTTTGACATGATAAAAGTATACCATAAAAGCATGTTTTCATAATGTTTTCTGGCTATTGCACATTATTCAAATGTGTTTCTTAACTGTTAACATTTTACCTATCCAATCCATATGATTTTCATGTCAAATGACTGTAGATATTTTTCCTATTTATACTGTTGAATAAAAAATCCGAAACACTATGCTTTATTGATAAGGCAACTCGTTTATCGAACAGTTAAAGTTTTAATTGATTTCATATAGAGTCGGAAAAATTCATTAAGGCAGGTATTGTGAATAAGTTCATATTATTCCTACAATTGACATCATCTGTCATCTAAAATGTGTAAGTTGATGATCAGGCTTAAGTTAATTAATTACTGTAATATTTTGTTATTCTAAATTTAATTCAAAATATATGTATATTTTTGTTTTACTACACGAATTTTTCTCACTTTGTATTATCATTTTGCCTTCTTACCGAAAAAGAGTGACTTTCGTTTCTTCTCATTCGTATTTACAAACAATTCCATTTTCTTTTCTTCATTTTGTACAACTTGTCGTGGCTAAATGATTTACTTATGTATGCATGGGAAGAGTGCCCATCACACATCGACATTAACTGAGGAAATATTGAAAACCAGCGAGCACTAATAACAGTTACTTCGTCTTAGTTGTGGTCTCAATAGTGACCACCTATGACCTTACCAGATATCGAACCCATAACCTATAGACCACTAACTTAAGAGTACAAAGCTGCGAACCAGTTTTTCATATTTCTTAATTAATTCACGTGGTCTTTATCTAGTGTAATCATTGATGAGTGTTCCGTACTCGATATGATTATTCATTATCATTAGAACTTCAGTAATCCATGTCGAAGTTAGTTATTAGTAATCATTTGATTGTTATGTAAAAAAATGGAATGTGGAGATCAGTTTAATGTGATATCAGTGTGTATAACGAAATCTTTCTTCATTACATTTCACAACTCCCCCCAGTTCACTCAACCAATCTCACTGACTTATTCCGCCTTCATTTTTTTTATTAATGTAATTATTTCTTTGCTTTTTATTGTTGTGCTTAATATCTTTCATACTATAATATTCCCATTAGTTGTCATTTCTTTCCAATTCTTCCCTCATTTAATTTCATCTCGTTTATTGTTTTGCAGTTCGACAGGAAGTTTCGAAGATAGAACGGTCAGCACCAAATATAACTCAGACATTAGTAGCCAAATTTCAAGAATTAGAATCTGGAAACAATACAACTAGTATACAAAATTCTCTACCACAGAATCAAGTGAATTTGCCTCATTTATTAAAATTATACATTCATGATTAGACCGAATTATTTAATGACTCGTTTGTATTAATATGATCGTACATTTAAAGATTTCTAAAATTGTAAATGCCAGTTATTGGATTCAAGCTCAGTAGTCTTGTTATGATCTCTCTTATCACGACCCAGCTGCTCTTATTGCCCCCATATCAAAACACGGTTGAACAGGAACGTAATTATACTCTATATAAACAATGTTGAATGGAATTAGGAACCAGAATAAGGAAAACGTTACTATATTTACAATTTTACACAAGAAGATTCTAGACTCTTTTCCAAGTACTTGCTAGCGCTGATTGGTTAGGAAATAGCCAACCAGTGTGCCCCAAAATTATCCTGCACGGAACACGTTTTAATCCAATCTGTATCCCGCTAACAAGTCTTATAATCCTGCGTTTGATCCCCCATAGGTTCGTGAGTGTGCATTGCTAAGTAGTCCTAAACTATGCTCCCTGATTTTCTGTAGAAGTGTACATAAAGTCACCATATGATTCCTACTCCGGACTCCCTGAGTATGACTGCTTGCAGGTGGTTTTAAAAATACATTGAGTTTCCACTAAGATGTGATTATCAGAAATTTATCGTTTATTTGAACATCTTTTAACTGGATGCTACTAGTAATATAAAAAATGATTCTTTCTTATAAAATAAATTGAACGTAGTTCAAACGTTAGATTATGTTATACCTACTTACTAAACAGAATACATTTTGTTCACATAATTACACAGTCAATTAATATGTTTGTTTTTAAAGAAAACTGTAAAATACTTTGCAGGCTCTTAGTTTTATGATCTGATTATAACCATACTATTTGTCACATATGTTAAAGATGGGTGGGGGTGAGATAGGTGGTCAGGAGGAGTGTGTAAAACTAATATTGGAAATAGTTTCTTGACCTAACTGATGAATAAAAGTAAAGAGAATTCAGCGAAGAAAATTCTCTTTTCCACGAAATTCCTTACTTAAGCTTTACACTAGTATTTATAGTTGTTTGATAAATATACGTCTATAGAAGGAAAGCAGAGGTTGCACCATTAAGTGATCCAAGATTTCAAATATCAATAGGAGATTGTGTTACGATCATTGGGTTCGAGACAAGGAGGGGAGGTGAAGACTAATTTACGGGTCAGAAATATCAGAGGTCACTATCGACTTGAACTAAATGAAGAAAAATGGAAAACGTAAAGGTCACAATAACAGTTCAGTGATAATCATGAAAAATTGTTAGAGTATAATAATAATAATAATAATAGCTGATTACGGTTTAAATAATACAAAAGCATAAAAAAAAACCAATACATATTGGAGAGGGTAATTTGGGTCAAAGAAAAATGAGAAGTTAAATGTATCGTTTTTGGACTCGGCATTCGGTCATGGCTAGGTGAATTGTCAACGCTTCATCAGTGAACGGCTTATAAAAGGGGAATGCAAAGCTATCACAGGAGCACCTGGACACGTTTCAGAGGAGTTGTCCTTTAAATAATGTATATGGTTAAAAGAATCTGATCAAAGCGAGGTCCAACTAAAATACTTGCGCACTGATTAGGCATTGATATCTCACCGACGCAAGACCGAATGCTGAGTCCAAAAACGATACGTTTAACTTCTCATTCTTCTTTGATCCAAATTACCCTCTCCAATATGTCTTGGTTTTTTTAATTCTTTTGTGTTACTTAAACCGTAATCAGCTATTATTATTATTATTATTATTATTATTATTATTATTATTATTATTATTATTATTATTATTATTATTATTATTATTATTATTATTATTATTATTATTATTATTATTATTATTATTATTATTATTATTATTATTATTATTATTATTATTATTATTATTATTATTATTATTATTATTATTATTATTATTATTATTATTATTATTATTATTATTATTATTATTATTATTATTATTATTATTATTATTATTATTATTATTATTATTATTATTATTATTATTATTATTATTATTATTATTATTATTATTATTATTATTATTATTATTATTATTATTATTATTATTATTATTATTATTATTATTATTATTATTATTATTATTATTATTATTATTATTATTATTATTATTATTATTATTATTATTATTATTATTATTATTATTATTATTATTATTATTATTATTATTATTATTATTATTATTATTATTATTATTATTATTATATTATTATTTATTATTATTATTATTATTATTATTATTATTATTATTATTATTATTATTATTATTATTATTATTATTATTATTATTATTATTATTATTATTATTATTATTATTATTATTATTATTATTATTATTATTACTCTAACAGTTTTTCATGACTATCATTGAACTGTTATTGTGACGTTTACTTATTTCATTTTTTTTTCCATATCGTTCAATGCATCGTAAAAATATTATGTGTGTATTCAACAGACTCATTTGTCATTCAATAAAGTTTATATTTAAGTTCATATTTAAGAGTGATAGCCCGGTGGGTAAGGTGTTCAATTTTCAGCCACTAAATCTCAGATCTGAATCTACCCATTTGATTTTGGGCAACTAAGTAGCATCGGTAGACCTCAAACTTAGGACATGGATTGAATCCAAATGCATGATTTTGTACCTGATAAATGAATATATTCAAGAAGGAACAACTCTTCTCTCCTTCAGTAAATATATGTAAGTATATTCATATGTCATTTAAAGAAATTAGGTGGACAAAATCACACTTTTGTTAATGTGGAGAATATTGTATGAATCAGCGGGTTTTACTTTTTATCACTGATGATAATTTTTTAAATTCTTTATATTTTTGCTTTTTTTTCAATACTCTTATTTGTGGTCACTTTCAAATGTATGTGGACATGTGTTAATCATGTAGCCACCACGTAGAATCTATTTTAACTCCACTCATACAGGACCAACCAGTGCAAATGGTGATGTTTTTCCATCGTCAGGAAGTGCTCGTCAATTAGTAGAACGTTGGAATAAAATGCCTCTGGAAAATCAGGTAAACTCGAATTTTCGCCAAAAAAGACCCATTCTGTCTTTATTCTTATTACCAATACTGTTTATTTATAGGTATTGAGTAATCCAAATCACCATAGTCTCTATTCTTTCAACTAAGATGAAGTATAATGGTCAATTTTGTTTGTATGTGTGCGTTTGTATGTTATAGATTTTCCCTCAGGATGTTTTGCTTCTTTCGTTACTTGTTTCTTATTTTCATTTTGACAACAAACTCATGAAAATTTTAATCTCTGATGTCAACTTTTTGGTTTATTTAATGTATTTGTTGGCATTCAAAGTGCTGAGAGCCGTCGAAAATACATTGCCATCATACTTGAAACTGTTTACCATTGTGAGCTTTTAATTTTGTCAATGGGGTTTGTAGATATTATAGTAATTTGATAGTTTAATTCATGAGCTGATTAAACCCAGACCAGCATGGAAAACCTGAAAACACTGGACGGCCGTTTCGTTCTAGTATGGGACTCTTCAACAGTGCAATCCCACACACGGGGCTCAAACCCAGGACCTTCGGTCTCGCGCGCAAACGCTTAACCTCTAGACCACTGAACCGGCAACCAATGGTGTTAATGTCCCACTTCAACCATTCCACAATGTTGCGCCACCCTTCACCATTGTCTTCAGTGAGTAACTGCGGGATCGTGGATGCGCACTTTTGAAGAGTTCCATACTAGGATGAAACGGCTGAAAAGCTTCAGCTACTCGCCTTTCTTTATAATTGGGAAATTTTTTAGATATTATTATTATTGACTTGATGGTCGTTAAAAAAACCAAGTACTGATTGGTTTATCAATTTTCTAAACATATAAGATTATTTTGAGGTTATTTATTATAGCTTAGATGTTCTTTGAACCGAGTAATGATTTCGCGAGAAAACTCCTATTTAGAATGCATCACAATCTATACGTCCTAGTCAATAGACACAATTGTGTCGAAGTAATAGAAATTTTCTATTTTAACCATAGCATTTCTAAGGGTGTTCATTATTTTATGGAATGTTTGAATTCTGTGTCATCTAAGGATTCATTGTAGCTTTTCTGTTGTGTCATGACGGTATGGTAGAACCACAGTCTAATAATCCATTTTAGTTTATTCACTTTATTTAATAATTAACAAAATAATTTCTTTTTGGTGTAGTTTTAATAATATTCATGAAAAAGTTCTCAAACCGTAAGATGTTAATTATATTTTTCGGTTCATTTTGTTTCTCTTCATCTGATGTCATAGTGTTTGTTATGACTGTGAAAAATTATTTGCTGCGTATTAAGGGGGGCGAATTATTGATCGGACCAAAGACGCACAAACACGTAGAACGACCTAGGGTTCTGATTGATCCTGCTTCCCTGTCTAGCCCAGTTAGTTAAGTCCAGAAGACAAGCCACAGCCTCGGAGATATGAATCATTATATTTCAAACATACTTTGTTTATATACCAATCAAGCATACCACATCGTACCATAAAATAGAAAACAACATTTTGTACAATACTCAACAAGTGAATAGATATCGACCAATATAAAATGTCCATTTAAAGTCCAAGGACACCATTGAACTTAACATGATAATTATTGGTCTATTCCTGCGCATCCACAACACCTCCCCTTTTTTTTGAAGATCCGGAGTTGATATCCGGATTTTGAAATTTTCTGGGTTCATCCTCCCCCACGAAATAACGTTGGGTCCTCATATACCCAAGTAACAGTTAGTCTGATTCGAATTAAAGCATATTTCGCGCATTGAGTAGAGGGTTCACTAAGACTGACTAGATGATGAGGATGAGCGACACCAGACATGAGGTCATTAAGGTTTGATTCTTGTGCAACATATTCTTCAGACCTCTTCAAAATTCTATCACTGGATAATAGGTCACTAAAACAAACAGCATCTTTGAAATTCGTATTAGATTTCTGACCATTATTTGATGCACGGGAAACATTTTCTGACACGAGAGGTTCTTCTTGTAAGCTGGATACCTCACATGTTTCAGGCACAGTGGGATTTGAACTCACAACAGGGAATGTTTCTGAATTTGACATTTCTGAACAACTGGGCGGATCATGAATGATTGTCTCGTTTACATCACTGGTCGTCCGGGATTCACAGAGGCTTTTATAGGCAGCTTCATATGTTCTGCAGTTGTTTTCCAGATCAGTCTGCAGATGAGAAATGAAATTACCAACTTCTGTCGCATTTCCGAAACATGGAAAATTTACCAACAGTGTGCGTAAATTTTCTAAAAACTTCAACTGGCTATTTTTGAAACACTGCTGTTGTTGCTCAAGTAGAAGCTGTAATTGATCGGAACAGGTAGTCATTTTTTTTTTCAGCACCAGCAATGAAAATTAACTGTAGGAATAATGACCAATGTTGCTCAAGGACGCTGGTGACAATCTGGATGCTGATTGGTCGAAACAATTAGCCTGAATCGCATCCAATTACAAGGTTCAAAATTTTTATCCCATCCCCGTCGCCAATTGTTATGACTGTGAAAAATTATTTGCTGCGTATTAAGGGGGGCGAATTATTGATCGGACCAAAGACGCACAAACACGTAGAACGACCTAGGGTTCTGATTGGTCTCGCTCCCCTGTCTAACCCAGCCAGTTGAGTCCAGAACACAAGTCACAGCCTCGGATATATGAATCATTATATTTCAAACATACTTTGTTTATATACCAGTCAAGCAGACCACAACGTACCATAAAATAGAAAACAACATTTTGTACAATACTCAACAAGTGAATAGATATCGACCAATAGAAAATGTCCATTTAAAGTCCAAGGACACCATTGAACTTAACATGATAATTATTGGTCTATTCCTGCGCATCCACAACAGTGTTTGACACTCGTCTAAGTTTGGAACCGAGAACATTTTTGTACTGAGTGGATGTGCCGATTTGAAATCAATATTTCGATTTGAGTTTGTGTGTGCTTATGGTAGATGAGTTGACTGAGACATCCATTTGAATTTCTTTTGACTAAACAGTCTAAAGTTAGTAGTTTACTGGGTTCATTTTAGAAGGCGAATTTTATGTGAGCTGAAAAATTACTTCTCACTTTATAAAAGTCCCTCAGGAGAGTAATTTCCGTGATGATGAAAATGTCATCTTCATATCTGAGCTAAATGCATAATTCTGATAGCACATGGAAAAATATGCGATTTTATATAGAACTGATGTACTTATATAAAAAGGCGACAACCTGTGATACAGATGATTTTATGGAGCCTCTTTTATTTTTCTATACAAAGTTTCTTTGGACGTAAATAAGGTCAAATTCAGAATTGAAGGGCTCTCATTATTAAGCTAATGATTAGTGGAGATCTGCTAAGTAGATTAATATCATGATTCTCTAGTAAACGATTAATAAAATCTGCGCATTTATCAATAAGAATACTAGTACATAACTATGCATCATAACTTACAGTCTTCATTTTTTTGACAGACAGATCCGAAATTTTCTATCTGAAATCATTAGAATTTTTAATGATATTGTATTAGTTTCTGTGAAGTGGTCTCAGTATACTGCTTAGATATTTAGATGGAGTATATGTTGGAGTGTTTGTGGAATCTACTAAGTCTTAGTGGTTTATCAGGTTTATGAACTTTTTGTAATCTCTAAAAAAATGTGTGGTGCATGATTTGAGATATAAAGTAAACCGTAAAGAGATACCTATGATTGACTTTAGTTCTTTAAGAAGTTTGCCTTTTTCTGATTTCACTTTATTTTAATCATTGAAAGGAATTGTAATTTGCCTTGAATTATCCATCCGTTTCTATGCTAGCACAGAACATTATGTAAATTACAATTGTATTTAAAAACTCACAGGACTTGGATCAATCACCTGACAATGATTTAGACCTGAAATGCATAAATATGTAAGAATGGATAAAAGAACTGTTGTGAGCACTTTTGTGTATTTGGACTAATTAATAGCTGACAAGAAAAGTAGGAGTATAAGGATGGTAATAGAAAAATACCATTAGTCACTTTTAGATAATTTTCAAATGTTCGTGTCCATCCAGTGGTCGGTTCGATTTATTATAAGGTGACAACATGAATTTAGCCAAGAAGTGATGAAGGGATTCAATCGTGAACAAGTGGAACCCTATTGCTCTTAAAAGTATAAATACCATTTTCTCTTCCCGACTCCCTTATACCTGCATCCACCAATGAAGGAAATTTCTTTTTGATGGACCAGAAAAATAAACTCAATTATGGTCTTAAAGATCTAGAAGCGTGATCGTACAGTCAAAGAGGTAACTGCTTGAGGCCGGCCGCACACAACCTTTTATGGGAAGTTTTCGATGTTAGCTCCTCACTTCAAGAGGCCTTGTATCTGGAGACGAAAATCCGTTTGGTAAGATGAGATTCGACATTTTTAATATCGACCATTTATAACCCCCTTCTTCCATTGCGAAAAGGCGGCATCGTTGCAGATGTTGGATGTCTGGAGGAAACGAGTAACCACTTTCACACCTCATTGCGCCTAACAGTATGGCTTCATCCTCGGACCATGGGCTTGGTGCTTTCAGCCTTACCGTTCCTCAACCAGCCTGACATGATAGGACCTAAGGAAAAAATGGTTCCAGGCAACATAGCTGTGGTTGGTCCAGTTTATCAGGTTTTATGGTAGGTAATTAAAACGAATAAAGTAAAAGTAGTTCAAACAATAGTATTACTAACCATAGTAAAGGTTTAACGAATAATATCTCTTAAAACCAACATATGTTATGTATGGATAATGGATGTATCTGGCCACTGAAACCAATTTGGGGAAGGGGTTTTCACCCAAACCTTCCAGTTATAGGTTACTACTATTACGTCGACCATAACCAGCAAATATACACCTTCCCACACGTCTAGACTGTTTGCCAATGGTTTTTTGGTTTATTCTTCCAAACTGTTCTTTTGTCAGTCAAAATTGTATTTGGAAATAATGAAGTAGCTGGGTGCACATAATAGTGCAGACCAAAGTAGTGTATTATAAAATATTTCATAAATGAATTGTCAGTTCAATAAAAATTTTATTTATAGATAGGGTTGGGTAATGTGCAGTATTGGAAGAATACAATGTACCACCGGTAGATAAGTCACATCATATCACAAGTCGACTAAAATTCCTAATATCAGTAACTCCAATTAGATTCTGTGATTTATAGCTTGATGTGTCTACTCTTTGTCCTAGAAGTCCTTCACTTGATTGTGGTAACTAGATTTTTCTAAAAGACAATGGAAATTGTTCAGGAAAATATTCCACTGAATATACTTACGGACACATACAAGATGAAAACTTCGAAGGGCAACAGAAAGATAAAAAGCGGAAAGGGCTGGGTAAGAAACACACTGAAGAAAATAAAACTAATCATCAGGTTACAAGTAGACCCAAGTCGTGTTTTTTTAATGATGTTGGTGAGTTCAATAATATCTTTTTCCATAGTCACTATGAATTCATAAAACCCTAGGAAATATTTTATCCAGTAGGCACTGAATAGAGGCCACTCAAGAACATTTAAGAAATGAGCGATCACTTGTCACTTTTTGATTGAATAATTACCCATTCAGATACTGTGTTCAATGTGTTTCTAGAAGGTCCTGGAATATCAAGGTCATAAATATCCTTAGTTTTGTGTGCACAAACTGACCTCGGAATAAAGTTTTTACGTTCAGCGCTGTTCCTTTAGGAAGCGGCCAGGAATTAAGTAATAAGCGTTCCGGTAGCAGATTTATCAGATATCCAGTCTTTGTCGACTGACTGTGAAAATCAGTCAAATTTTACTTCATAATTCTTAGGATTCTTGATAACTAGGACTCTGAGTGATTTTTTTGACGTAATGTCTGACTTCTTATCACTAGGTTCTACATTTCGTTAGCTTGATGCTTGTTATTCGAGATTTCATATAAAGCCCTCTTCCTTAACTTAAATGGTGAAAAATCAATATTGACTTTGTTTCATACTCGAAGATAGATAAATAGAAGTCTTCCTTAAATTTAGACTGTTGGTCGAGTTGCGCCTGAAGTAAATGGAAAACCTCATGTTTCAAACCAACGGAAATTCATTCCTGTGGAACGTAAGTTATACCATCTTCTTTGGTATGTATGTTTATATATTTCTACTACTTTTGTTTTGTAACTATTGAATATAATTGGGAGTGAAATACAATCTGTATATGCGAGACAAATAAACATAACTGAGATGACCATACCACACCTCGTTTGATATGTGCCATAAATAATTGCAAACAATTTCCTAATTGTTACAAAAAAGTAAATGTTCAAGTCAACCGAAATGCATTCCTCTTAAAATCGTACAACACATTAATAAAACATTTTAAACTTAACTACTTGTAAGTAGTTCATGAGTTGTTGTGAAAAAGAGGTTTTGATGTCAAGTTTAGGGGTTTCAAAGGGATTTATTTACACGTTAAATGGAGAGCTAAGTTTATATATACATAACATCCTTAGGAAATTAGGACGATCATCTGTTTGGGTCTAACCTTGTGTAAATTAAAGCTATTTCTCAACCAACCACGTCCACTCATCATTTGTTTATTTCTCTGTTTGATTCACTGTATACAAACAATTTCCTAGTTCGAATCTTGATTATTCGCATAGAACTGAAATTTTTAATTGAGCAGTTGATGGTTATTTGACTTCTAGTTGACAAATTCACGAAATAAAGTTCATATTACCCAACTAGATAATCAGAATATTATAAGTAATTTACGGTGTGCATCTGGTAATCTACATCGATTCACATGTTTACATGCTGTTTCATTTTCGTCATACTATGTGCATACTATATTTAAAGCTATCGTTATCATGAATTAAGAAATTCTATGCAAAACAGTTAAAATTGTAAGTTTTCATATTTACTTATTCTAGCCAAACCATTAACTAGAAAACCTGTCGAACAAAAACCAAAACAATTAGTCAGTGAATTAAAACAAAATTTCAGTCATAAACCTGAAGATGAAGCTTAGTAAGTTGAATTTTAGTTTAAGAATGAATGAAACTAATTGGTGATTTTTTTTCAAAAAAATCTTTGATTTGAGACATTTTATTTTATTGACAGCTTTGCGAAAATTGATTGAATTTAGTTCTCGTTATGAATTTTTTATATTGGATGATGAATTATTGAAAACCACGAAGCTCCGGATAGTTGGTCTGTTGTAGTTTAGGATTTCTCGGTTGTACAAAAGCACATGGTGGTCGAACTCTGAACACTGAAATTTCACAAACGATAAACATTACCTTTAGTTCACTTCATAGTATAACGCGACACTATCCGACCAGTCCTATCAGGCAGTTCGTTGTTTAAATAACGTGGTATATTTATAGTGTGTGGGATCGTTTTCATTTATTGTGCTCCATCTTTTTGTACAACTATGGAGCTCCATTAATCCGTATCGTTTTGTGTACAGAAACTCACAAAATTCCAGACGAACGTTTATCATCGAGAAATTAGCTATGTGTTTGCCAAGTCATCCAAATAAACAGTCTCATATCATTTAACCAGCCCTCATACGTAAAAATGCCGTAGTCATTGTTTTGGTCAAATTATTCTGCCAGACAGACGTGTGTACAAAAATCATAGTAGCCACTACTTGATGATAAGACGTGATAACTGTGAACTTTGTGTGAAAAAATCTCCACTGTGTCGTTAGATAATGCCAAACACTTCCCAGCCTACTGTAGTTTCAGTCCATATCAATTATCGGCTTGGACACAAGGAAAATAGTAACCATAAATCATAGAGGCTTTCCCATGTTAGGGTTACGACGAATCGCTGTTAACGTTGTATAATATGGGAAGGTTATATGTGCTTGATTTGTGTTATAAGTTAAGAAAGATTTTTTGTCATTCTCATCATGTAATGATACTATTTAAATAGTTATAATGGAAATTTGTCGAGCTTAATTTAGAAAAGACTAACAAATCTGGAATTTTGTGAACCTTCATAGATAATGATAGCTAAATACATTTTGTGCCAATTCTCGCCCATTAAATTCTTGTGTAATTTTCTTTGTGATAGAATCCCAATTTAAAATATCCTAAAACCAAAACCAAATTTGTAATCAGTCTCTAAACTCTCTTCCAATGTTGATGTTAACAGTACGAATTTTGGTGTAAACTATGTGGTAATCTGTATTCTCTGTTGAGTGGTATCGTACGCTAGTGTTGATATATATATATATATATATATATATATATATGAAATTCAAGTTATTCAGTATAACACCTGTCTTTCTTCCCACACTAAATCTTTTTGTGGATTCTTAATAGTTAAATCACTTTGCATTCAACTAATAGTTTAAAAATTTGATTTCGGTTCAATCTTTTTCAGTTTGAGATCTTGGATGTTATCACAGTAGCTGTTACACTAGTAGTCTGTCTCAGCCAAATACATCAACTTGTTACGTATTTTTGCTTGTATTGACATTTTCAAAATGTCACATTTCAAAGTCATTATTTTAACCACAGGTTGTACAATATTAGCCTAGTGAGTCATTGATATCATTTACCGTTACTTTAGGTCAGAGGGTAAAATCGTACTGCTGAGTGTAGAGGTTTGTGATAACAGTAAGAAGTTTCCCCCAGACATCCTACATCTGCAACGATGCCGCCTTTTCACAATGGAAGAAAAGGGTTATAAAAGGTCGATATTAAAAATGTCGAATCTCATCTTACCAAACGGAAATGCTGAATGTCATCTCACCTCATATTAGTTCTTCCATCCCCATGAATAACCCTTCTCGTATATTTTTATCACCACACACCAGCAATTATAGGTTTAAGAAAACACAGGTAAGTTATGTATTTCATGTATTTTTCTTGTTTTTCAAAAAAAAAACTTCTCTTTCCTTTTAGCAGTTCCTCGGAGTCTACTGAAAGCGCGAAAATTGGTCAGTTTCATAGCACAAATGGTAAAACAAGTGAATTTCCAACTCCGGGTATTACACGAAATCTAGTTGCTAAATTTTCTGCCCTTTCTGCTGCATCCTAACTTATGACATATTCTCAACACTTTTCTTACCAAAAATAGTAGCGTAATCAGATGAAGATGATGATGACTATTAAAACGATTTGGTCATAATCAATAGGAACACACTTTTTCTCGACAGTTCTTTTTTTCGACTTTGTTTTCAAATTACTGATTACTAATACTCTTTTATTACAACTTTTGTCGCTATTATCGTCATCCTTGTTACAGTCTATTTCTTCATACTGGTCCACTTTTTCATAACAACAGATTGTCGTATCTTAATCTATTATTTCATTGTGGTTTATTCATTACGCTTACATTACTAAGTATTTATTTGATGTTGTTACTGCTTAGATTTATGTTTATGAATAAAATTTACTTATAAGGAAGAGGAATTATTAAGCACCACATGCTATGTTTCTGTTATTCATTTTATTGTCATATATATACAGAGAGAGAGAGAGAGTACCATTTTGATTTGTCATTGTTAGTGTCATTTATATTTCTTGTCAATCTATAAAACTTACTCTTTTTTAACGCTCAGTTTCCTTTTTGATATGATAGTATTCTTTTTTACATAGCTTTTATTTCTGTTAACACAAATTTGGAAGTAGCCACAGTTGAGTTTATTTCAGTGGGTTTGTTTTAGTATTTATCGTGTCCATTTCTACTTGTTTTACTTGCCGTACATAGTGTGTTTTGTTTTCATACATGGTTCATTTGTTTTTTGTTTTATGACACTACCAACTATACGAATTTTCATCCTGTTTTTCGTTGTCATTTTCAATGCTTTCACTTTTCTTCTTGTCTATATCTCTTCGTTATTTCTTTTGATAATGTTTAAATACCGAACTGTTCCTGTTTACCATTCTGTTTTTCGAGTAAAGCTTAATTTAATTACAAATTAAAGGTTTTTACTTGTATTCCCCAGGTGGATCAATCGCAGCCTGTATAATTCAGTAATAAGTTTTAAATCTCATGAAAAGTACCAGTTCCTTCAAGGTTACAGGCAATCTAACGAGCGTCAACTAGCACGAAAAGTGTTTCTAAAATTTCCAACACTTTATCCATATTTGTAGAATTACTGGCAAAAGCATCTATACTTATTCTGGACTTTTGAGATGGGTACTCATAAGAGGATTATATCTAAGACTTACTACAACTTAATCATAAGTAGTATGCAGAAAAAAACTAATTGGTCTACGAATTTTTGCATTTAACTGCATGGATTGCCATTTTGCTGCTTATTATTCAATTCTTGTGTTCGTTTCTTTTAAACAATTAAAATGAAGCTGAATCATAAACTCTCCAGTGTTAATCAAATTCACTTTCCAAAAGATTACTTGTTATATTTATTTAAGTTAATTTTCCTTAAATAACTTTGTGTAATAGGCTGAGTAAATCAGTCAGTCTTCGAAATGTTAAATACAATCAACTAACAGTATAAACTCTCTTGGTTATTTATCATATCTATGAACTTATTCGTCAGTACTTAATAGCCTATGAATATGAGCTAAAATTTACATTCTAATTGTTGAAAAATTTGACGTCTGAAGCTATATAACTGTAATCTCTACTTACATTATGACGACAGATTGGCTTTTAGACCTCTTATTACTGAACTTTCGTTAATAAAATTAACGATTGAGTTAATTTGAGAGAATAACGCATTACTGGTACTGTGACCAAAGCATCAAACCTAATTTTCTTGCACAAGCAAGCGGAAAGTTAACTTGCAACCTACAGTGAAATTTGTATGACAAGAATTCACGCTTTCTGTAATCATACGCATAGTATTAATACTTGTGTGACTCATTTATTGGAAGTATCACCATAGAATTTTGTCTCAGCAACTTTCGAAATTTGCTAAATAGCATGATATTAATTAATCCATCTACTCTAGAAGATCTTTCATAACAGTATGATGTGGACCTCGATATTGGTCTTCAGAAATGTTGTATTCGAAGATTAAATTATATGTAACTTCCGAGAATTATTTATAGACTGTTATTATGTGTATATATTCTTATTGTATAACTGTTAAGTGGCTAGATTATATATTTATATTTCTTATCATAAGCTTTCAGTTGATCTATTGGCTATTATTATAAGATTTACAATTCTTAATGTACCAGTTACAGTCTCTCACACTCAACTACTTTTGGCTTGATCTTGTGTAATCGTTTTTTTTAATTTTATGGTGTGATGCCGTCTGGTTCGCTTGTATATAAACTACATATGTCTGAAGTATATTATTCATATGGTCAAGGCTGAGATTATGTTCTGTACTCAAAGGACAGGGAAAGGCGAGAAGGACCAATATGGATTCAGAGTTGACAACAGGTTGCTAGTGCTGTTTTGACGTGACACAAGAACAAGGTTATATAGTTCGATATTCGGATTGACAATTTTTTCGAGTGATAATTAACGGAGAAAGTTAGAGCATAAGACATTATTTAAAGGAATTACTCGTGGAAGGTATCTTCAGTGTTGAATTTAGATTTGACAATGACATACGGACAAACTGATATAGTCTCTATGGGTTTACCACTCGACTCTTTTCTAGCCATTTACTTCAAACATGCGTCTCCCTATTGAGTCGGCTTTCCGAGAACTGCAACGGAGCTTCGGAGGCCTTGAAGGAGCCGAAGAGTCATAACTAATCAGAGCATGATGGAGCTCTCTAGAATATCAACGTGACCTGATACTATTGGTCAGTAGCATAATATGTCTTTTAGCGGATTGCCCAAAATATGATGTTGATTTAACAAATGTTAACATCTATAAATACACGTTTTTCTGTAAAAAGTGAACGTTTGGAGTAAAGTGCTTTTCGCCTTTTCTCTCGAGTCCAGGTCGCTGCGTAGGAACCGAATAAAGCCTTCAAATTACCAAAACTTATCAGTGGCGACGGGAGAACTACAATGAATATTTCTTTGGAGCAACTAGAAGCCTATATGGAGCGTCAAGAGAAGAGATTTGAACAGTACCAAATCAGAATCATGGTAGCCTTGATGCAGAAATTGTGCCTGTCCCTCCTTATTCCTCCTTGTCTCTTTTTTTCTCTTCCCAAATTTATTTCACTGTATTATACTCTTTAAATAACATCTCCAAACACTAATTTTCCCGATTACTGCTTATACTCTTATTATCTCTACCACTACGGGATTTGAATCGACCACTGCATCTGTGTGCTAATGGGGTGTGGCAACTCGAACTGATTTGCGTACGTACGAAATTTTACGTTGTTACTGACTGATTGACTGCCTGTCCCAGCAAAACCCTGCTTTTGGTGAACCACAATTATCTCATACTGGTTCAGACATTAATGCCATTCATAAATTTAATTTTGACGGTGCAGCAGGCGTAACTTTTGATTCTTGGTTTGAGAAATATGAAGATTCGTTCTATGTTGATCTCTGCAGAGTTGATGACGCCTCAAAAGTCAAAATACTTCTAAGAAAACTTGGGACGATGGAACATGAACACTACAGTAACTTCATTCTCCCGAAGAACCCACGAGACTTTAGTTTTGATGAAACAGTTAAAACCCTGTCTCAAATCTTTGGAGAACAGTCATCTCTATTTAATATCCGTTACCAATGCTTGAAGATAACGAAAGAACCAGATGACTGGGTGAAACATGCAGGAATTGTGAACCGAGAGTGTGAGAGGTCCAAGTTGTCTTCCATGATTGAAGACCAGATTAAATCCCTAGTATTTGTCTGTAACCTGCGTTCACCCGAAAATGCTGACATCCGAACAATAATCCTAAGCAAGCTTGAACAATGCCCCGATATGATGCTGCGTGAAGTAACTACCGAAGGGTTAGTGAACTTGAAGCATGATACCTCTATGGTAGAGAACGGTACCCATTTCCCTTACATTAATGCAGTCCAGAGGAAGGTCTCGCAAGGTTCCAGCAAGCATAATTATCGTAATGATAGCGACAAACCATCATGTCCATGCTGGTCATTTGGAGGTTGGCACTATAAGAGCTACCCGTGTAAAGAACATTGTTGCAGTAATTGTCATCGGAAGGGCCATATAGAAACCAGCTGCAGAAAAAGAAAGCATAAACGGTATTCTGCAAAACCCTGCTTCAAGAAATACAAGTTTGGCGCATTAACAAGAGTATTGGTATCACATAATCACGCACGGAATCGCCTCCAAAGAAGGTACGTAATCTTTGGTATTAATAAACACCGTACTCACTTTCAGCTTGTTACAGCTTCTGATATTACCCTAATCAGCCTAGAAACTTGGAGGAACATTGGGAGACCCATCGTTCTCCCAACAACACAACTAACACACAGTGCAGGCAACGCTCCAGGGATATCGTTCACTGTTGGAGGTTGCGAGCACTTGAAGGTCAAACTGCCGCAAGATGATTGGTGCGTCACATCAACAATTCGCGAAAATTTTCCGAAGCGGTCAAATTAAGACATTTGTAGATTTGAATTGAGTTCAGCCACACCATGTCTGATAACGTTCATTCTTCAAGTAACGATGCCATCGTGATGATGCATGATATAGGATAAATCTTCAATGATATTATGTTATCTCGAAGATTTACAAGTTGGGATAATTTGGAGACCTGTTTGAAAGAAGTACATAAGGCAATATGACTTCTGTGGTGAATAATTATTTTTTAAGTATACGCATACTAATTATGTTATGTCAGTATGCAAAAAGAACAGTGATGACCCAACTTCAAAGCACTTTTTCGTGAGATATGTCTGTATATATGGACGTAAACACAGTTCGTCAGAGTCAGATGCTTGCGTTCAGGATGTAGATGATGATAGTAATCATCATTCTCCTGAAGAATGTACAACTTCTAACTCGCCAACACAACCTAGACAAAGGAGACGACGTCGGTCATCTACGTATGCCTTGTTTCAAATGAATTTATCCTTCAGGTCGAAATAGTGTCATTGTCAATCTGGATTTTGGGTCCGGGCAGTAAATAGTGAGCTGAAAGTCACCTCTGTTAAAACAGTGCACAACCATCCTTGCACAAAAGGATATATTTCTGTCGATCCATTGAGACAACTGTTGACGTCAAATGAACGCTTATATATAAGAACGTTTCTACTGAGTAATACACCAACTCGTAGCTTACGGCATATGGTTTCTTGGAAGTTCCATAAACAGCTTACCAAGGACGATATCGCCAAAACACGTTCACAGTTACACCCACGTTGTTGAACTCACATTGTAATTAATTGAGTTTAGACACTAAAAATATCAATGGCATCTTACAGCGTGTTCAAGCGAACACTGAAGTAAAAGTATTCAATGAAAATGGGAACATATCTATGACTTGCTTCAGCCGCAGGGATCAAATAGCGTTCCCGGAGGTAATATGTATTGATTCGACTTATCAGACCAACGAAGTTGGGTAAGTAACGATTAGTAATAAATTTATCTTAAAGTTTTCCACTGTTCCAGCTAGTAGTGATTGGTAGTCTTGGGCAAGGGCACACTGTTATGTATGCTCTCTGCAGTCAAGAACGATGAGAAGATGTCGAAAAACTATTGGGATGTGCGGTACTTGTGATACACACACTTTCGTTATGGATTCAGCAGCGACTGAAATTTCACCAGTGCAGTCTATGTACAGTCATTCTAACATAAGACTTTGTTCACTTCATGTCTTAAGAGCATTTTTCAGGAAGGTATATGTTAGCTGTACAAATTATTTTCTGTAGTTCCGAAATCCTGATGAACGCAAACGCTTGGAACAGCTTGTGAAGACTAGACGGTCTGATATGTGAGCTTCCCTTTTCATAACGCATTATATTCAGATTTGCTCGGAAGTATGAACATCTTAGGACGCATGTTTACCAGGAACTAGTATAAAAACAGAAACCAGTATTCAATTACAGATCGAAAGTGCATTTAGCACACCCTTTCTTTGGATAGTCAATCACGCTTATTTCCTTTATCTCTTGCGTTGCTTAGTAAAGTCTGGGTCGCAACAACCGCGCGCTATTTAAAAAGGACAGTGGTATTTTTCGTTGCTGAGTAAATTTCATTGTTTTGATCGTTTATTACGTATCAAGACTACTGTTTTCACTTTAATTGAATTCACTTCAGTTAAAGTATCCGGCTAGAGTACCGTTTTTACCGTTCTCTTAATTAGTTTTGTCATTGGTACTCTTGAGTACCTCATTTTCAATTGTATTTGTTAGTACTTTTGGTCCTAACAATCTACAGTTCTTCACTTTTTGGTCATTGATTATTTTTTTGTTTCTGAGTATAATCGCATCTCGTTCCTTTTTGAAAAGGACTCCTTTTAAATGACCGGACAGTGTAAAAAAAGCAGTTGCCAACGTCCGGGTTGTCGTTATCACGTTGAAAGCGGCATGCAGAAGCTGGTACCACGAAGTTTGCACGAACTTAACGCCTGCGGCTTTCAAACGGTTCAGTAAGAAGGGTTGCGTATGGCTTTGTCAACAGTGCTGTTCGGATGCAAACAGCCTGTTAACCGAGTTCATCTCACTGGTTGATGCTGCAAAGAAGTGTTTTAGCAAGCGTAGTCG